AAACAATCCCAAAAAAATTTTATTCAGGTTACAATTGATCTGTTTGTTTAAGGTGAATCTAAAAGATTGAAGGCACATTTAAAGACTGTTTACTCTGTTAAATATTTCTTTTCCCTCTACATATAGAAACCATTGTTATTGTTGGATTGATCTTGTACTTTAATTTCCATCTCTTATTTGTATATTTTATCCCTTTTTTCTATCCTCGGATGGCTGTTGTGGAAATAAATGTGGGAAAACTCGGTTTTTTGCTCTCATCGTTAATAAATCTGTTCCGATTGGTTATTGAACTGAAAGACTATTTTTTGAAGCCTTTGCTTTGATGGTATTTGGTCAGTCCATGAGCTGTTCCCACACTCTGTATTTAAAGTTTTCTATTGGCTAATCAGTTATTTTGCTTCGTCTCCTGTGCCTGTGTTGAACCACTTTCACTCCGTGTTCCTCTTTTCACGGCTCATCTGTCGTTTGATGTATAAAACCCAAATGCACATGTAAATGTTGTATAATTATAAAGTATTGTACTATGGCTCTGGTAAAAGCTGTACATTGCCCTTCAGAAGGAAAAAAAAATCTGCCAAAATTAATAAATTACTATATAATGATTACATTTACTTGCAGCTTGTGTTTCAGGTCTTTACAAGTCATTACCAGAGGTATTGGTAGAATTTGGTTCACCTACAGACCAGAACCGAGCCTGTAGAGGATTCTGCACGTTTTAGACGGACAACATGAGCAGAAACGTTTGGAGGTCACCAGACAGAGGATTCATTCATCCCATCGCCAAAGGGGAAAGAAATATGTTTACACTCCTTTGCATTCATGGCTTATTTTAGTCATTACATTAACTATTCATATTTATTGTGTGAATGAAATTTTTAAAAGTATGCAGAGCTTTGTTTGTCCACTTGTATATGAAGCTTCAGTCATGATTCAGGCTTAAATAAAATTGCAATCAGCAGCAATCAATGATTACGTTTCACCTCATTCTGATACTTTTTGGTGTATTTTCACTACAATCCTGCAAACTTCCCTGCTGCCACATAATCAGCTAACTCGCAGGCTGCAGCATGTGACTGCATGTTGGATCAATTTCAACTTGTCGAGCAGTGGGTCTGTTCTAGCAAAGCTTAAGGTTCAATCTTTTTTTTTTTTCAGCCAATCTGCTATAGATTTGTTCTAGTTGAGATAATTATCCTGTTGACTCTTTTCTCAAAATACTTTAGTCATTGTTTACTCAACGACTGCACATTGCTCAAACCATCATCCCTCCTCCATCATGCTCTACAGATGGTGGAAAGTGTTTTCTATTTTATGCTGTGTCAAATCACACTGCCATATTTTTTAGACATCAAAGTACAAAGTTTTTTGCTTTTCTAGTATTTCTCCAAATACTACATCAGGACAGCTTTCCGGAACATATCACACCATAGAATGATTGTCTAAACAGTACAGTCTGGTAAAGACCATGTCCAGTATCCATCTTATGTTTTATTTACTTTTGATATTTAAAATGTCCCTAACCCAGTTTCTGTGTTACATGTTCTTTAGAAATTTTAAGTTTTGAGAGGGAAGACTTGTAATATTTTGCCATTACTAATGTATTACTTTAACAATCATATTTTATTAAAAGAATTTTAATCACAAACATTTCTGGGACAATCAGCCAGCAAAATTTGTTACATCATCAGGCCCATTTGTAATGGGCACCATCGTTGATGTCCCTTCATCTTGGGGATCGGCAAGCCTCCAATCACTCCAGTTTTTCTTAGAGCTGCTCACACTGATAAGCATTTCTTTGGCATCTTATGGCTGCTCCTTCCCCAAAATGTAGATCAAAATCAAACCTGGATTCAGCCCAGAGTTTTGCTAGGGCTTTAAGTATTTACAATTTTATAGCACAAAAGTTAAGTCTCCTTACCGTTTTGATCTAACAACATTGCATTTCCGTCCGACTCCATAACTTATCGATAAACCTTGTGAATGTCGTCCTCACTCCTGCTCACACCATCACTCTTCAGTTTGTATCTAGCTCTAAGTGATTAAATTATCATTGTTCGCCTTTGGTTGTTTTCGCAGTGACATGAATTTTACTCAATATGACAATTTCTCTGTATTGAGCTGCTCCACAAGCAGAGCCGGCATCTTTTGGAGCACAGCGGAGCTGAAAATGAGAGAACAAAAGGGCAAGAAGAGTGCAAGTCTCTCCAGACACTCAGGAGAAAGCTTCGCTTCTAAAGATGCCAGACTGGCTTTCATCGACATTCATTCCGACCTTAGCTTCAAGAGAGTGAGCTGAAACCCAAGAACGTTACTTCAGGACAACAAACTCGAGCCGTTTTCACCTGCTTCTAATCAGGAACATAAAGACAAGCAATCCTTAACAGGAATTGCTTCGTGACAGCCCCATGCAGACACTAAAGAATGTTTGATCATCCCACAGAAACTGTTCAGACAGAGCCGCTGCTCTCTTCACCTGAAGCCTCGAGCAGCATCTCTGTAATAAACATGCAAAGCACTGCTGGAGAGGAAGAGCAGTGGTGATGAAGGTGAAGCACTAGTTATTATCCAATTGAATATTCTGGTCTGATCTCCAGGTTAGATTAGAAACTGGTGCAGGAGAAAGCTACAGTAATGGCTCGTGTCGCTAATAAAGGGAAGTACAGCAGCTCATTTCGGTAATTTAGATGTGTAATAAACAGGATTACGTACAGCGAGCTGGTCATTACCGGGCGAGTTGAATGGAGACCCAACAGGATTATCTGTGTATTGTAAACACGAACAAAGGCTTGTGCAGCTGCCGGTTTGTATTTATCTGAAAATGGCAAACTGGATTCCTCAGCTGAGCTCCTTTTTCTCTCCATCACACCAAATAGTCTGAGCTCACTGATCATTTGTCTACTGTTGGGCAGACAGAACTAAGTGCTTCCATCCTGAGAAAATGTCTTCCTTTCAACCATAGTTGTACATAAAGTAACATGTCTAATTAGATATTAACTAAATTTTTTTTAAATAAGCAAAGCAATTTATTGGTAGAGTTGATTTAAAAGCCTTACAGGACATAGTAGCACTGTAAAGTTCAGAAAAATCTAGTTTTTATGAGTTATTGGTAATAAAAATAACTTTTTAAATTCTAATCACAGCTGTCAAGAGTTGTATACCTCAGACTCTTTTTTTTTCCCACACGTCTCAAGAGTAATTAATGTACATCAGTGAATTTGTAAAATACTATTATATTTTTCTCCTCCAGAAAATAAATTTACCTGAATTACATTTTTAATTGTGGAATTTTTATGCTGTAAAAATTAGATTTTTTTTTTTTCCAAGAAGTACCAATTACTGGGGGTGCCATCAACTAGCATTTCATCTCAGGCATTTATGTAAACTTGCCGTCTTTGGGTAGTCAGGATGTTTCATGAGTCACAAATGTTTTGTTGACTGAAACCGAACGCAATCCATCCCAAAGTATACAAATCGTTGCAAAACCTCCAGCAAAACCATTGAACGGACCAAACTGAAGGCAAAATCTTTACTAGTAGCACCAAATTAGCCGAGGGCTCAGAACAAAACATCCAGCAGATCAGAACAACTATCTGGAATCAAAAGAAAGGGTAAACAGCTAACCGGCTCAAGACATAAAACAGGACTGGAGCAGATCCAGCTTCTCGCAGCTCAAAAGAAGATATTTAAAGATGAAAATGAGGCATGAGTCAGTCTCCTAAAGGAGCTGCATTCATGCATAACGATGCTCAGCTGGTTTTTGTTTCATGTTAACATTTTTCAGTTTTTCAGGGTTAAATTGTTCAAAGACGACATGAATCGAAAGAACGAAAACCTGTTTTCCTTCAGAAACCAGAAAACTGTTCCCTAAACATGTATCAGTTGGTTTCTGATACAGAAATCCCTCCTCACCGTATCTGCCACCCGATGTCTGAATTAGAAAACCTGGATGAGATTCTGGTCTTGATTACCGGGCTCATCGTTTCAAAAGAGGAAATGGATACAAAAGATCGAGGCAGAGGTTTCAGAAATATAATCTGAGCAGGACAAAATAAGAAATGCTCGATAAATCTTTTAGAACACATTTGAACCAAGCAGCAATAGAATTGGGCTCATTACATCAATCTATAAGTGGAGGATGTGGGTAGGCACAATTAAACAGCATAGGAGCAGATAGCGACAGGAAGCTACTTCATGATTTCAAAGCCTCTTTTCCTGCACGTAGCTTCTCTGCGTGACGTCTGAACCCTCGCTGCACTTCTCATCGGCTGCAGGTCTCCTGCTTGCTTTTACATCTACAACTTGTTTTTATGGGCACTTCTGCTAAAAGTAATATTGCCGCAGAGCATGAAGATCTTCCTTATGTCCTTTCAGAACCACATTTCCAAATAATAAACTAAAAGGTTGGATGAACAACCTTAGGGATAACCTATAGACAGACAACCATGATGGATGATCAGTGGTAATTTAAAGGAGTGCTAAACATTAACAAAAATCTGATACATATATGCTCAGGAATAACACACGACAGTAAAACCCCAAAGGAATCAAGAAAATTTATAACATAATAGAGAATATGGAAACAAAAAACTGACTTGAGATTGCAATTAAACAGAAATAAGAGAAGGTTCATTTTTAATGTAAATGAAAAATAACCGATTTTTGTGGGTTATGAGTTGGTAAGTGTTTGGAGTCCTAACCTGATGACATTTTCTGTTCCTCTTCATTGACTTTAGAAGCAGGTGAAGTTCTCCCAGAAACATCAACATTTCAGACAAATGTCTAAAAATCTGAATAGAGATAAACAACAAGCATAGAAAACAATTTAGCAAGCAATCAAACCTCAATTTGCTCCACAATCATGGCATGATATGGCATGTTATTCCTATTCGAAGCCAAATTCGTGAAGGCTGGTTCCATCGGGGGGGTTTCCAGCACAGACCGTAGAAACCTGCGGGAATTAAACGGCTCATTTTCTGTGGAAAGAAATTGAAAGCCCAAAAGACATGATGAAAGACTTATTTTATTTAAAAGTTTTAACATGTAAATTCATAAGACTGAACCACTTCTGTCACACCCAGTGAAGACTTTTCATTAGTGCAGAAATTCCCATCCAACAAACTATAGGTGAACAAAGATGTGAAAAGAGAATACATCAAAGGTGGCTTTAATATAAAGGAGACGCTCTTCTGAGAGTAGATGGAAATGTTTCAACTTTAGAAAGGCTGTTATTGTTTTGGGTTTTTTTTTACCATTCATCTGTTGCAGACATTTCAGACAACCTTGGCTGCAGCTTTTCAATCACCTGGGGCCTGACCAAAACAGATCAATGAGGGAAGGCCGCTGGAGATTCTGCTGCTGCCGTTGTGGCCGGCATGCTCTAATTGGACGGGCCATGAGTGTTTTACTGAACAGAGGCCTTGTTTTCCACATGCACAATCAATGGCTCGTTCTCCACAGAGCTGCCCAGACACACTAATCAGCTTATATCCTTGAAACTTGTGGATGATTACATAGTTCTAGTGTCAAGCGGTTTTAATTAGACATACCATATTATTTTGGCCCATTAAATCCTATTCCATGAAAACATACTTCACTCGAGGACCGTTATATGGACTACCACAGTTAAGATCACTGTGGTAATGAGTAAAATACTTTTTCGTGTGCAAAAATACATGATATGATTGTGTCATAATTAACATTTACAGCCTTGAAAACTTCTCATTAATGTGGACCAAATTCTACAACATGGGAAAAATGGACTTGATTTCTAGACAAACTAATGTCTCCTACAATAACACTTCTATCTCTGGTAACTGCATTGACTGTATGGGATTATGGCAAAACGTCAGTATCTTTAACCGAGATGTGCTTTTATAATGTGTGGTTACTGTATGTTTTTAACTATTTCCTATATATTCTGTGCTTAAATGTTTTCTTAACTATGTTTATGCATTATCAAACATATAAAGGCAGGAAAGGTATGTTACAACTTGAGAAACTTTTGTTTTGATAGAAATACGCTCTTGCCTTGTATGAGCAGAAGGGCTTGCAGCCTGCTTGCAAAAAACATCCCTGCAATGATGAAGATCCATTCGAACTCGACCTTGGAGGGTACAGACAGAATTTCATTAAGGGAATGGATTTGCACCAGGAGGAAATCCTACTCACTGAATTTCTTTCTCCAACTTTGTTTCAGAAACCTGATCCTCGAGAAAAACACCTCAGTATGACGAACACCAGCACCACTAAGGATGTTCAAGAAGCATTAAAATAAAAACAGGACAATCTCAATCTTGTTTGAAAGTTAATAAGTATCCTTAAAAGATTTTAAATTAGTACTTTATGATTTTGTTTTCCGAGGTTGATTATTTAATGAACAAGTGTGTGTGTGTGTGTGTGTGTGTGTGAGTGTGTGTGTGCGTTTTATTTTTCTGTATAGTGTGATACAAAGAACACGTGGAAATGAAGGAACTATGATGTTGTGGGCTGGTTTTCTTACTGGGACGTACAAGTACATTTTAGTCTGCCAATTAACTAAAATTGGTTAATTTTGTTGAAAAGCAGCATTTGTCTCATCTTTTTCAATTATTTCACAGGATTCATGATTCCCTGCAACCACAAGGTTTCAATGAACTTTGGGCGTTCAGGCCAGATTAGTGGACATTTATTTATTTTATAATTACCCAATACCTCAGCTGAATGTTTGTTTATATGGGATTTATTAATGTCAACTTTCCGGTTTTAAATGGCTCGACTCTCTTCTTTCAGTGGTGACTCTACTGACCACACATTAGGGCATAAAAAAATATTAAAGATTTCAAATAAAAATATTTTTAGTCACATTATTACCAACCATACCTAACCAGGTTAAATATGCAAACTGACACCAAACAGAATAATTTATCTGAGGCAAAATAACAGTCTATAGAATAAATGCTGTTAATGTAGCTGTATCCTGATAAACATTTTAATCATAATAACCAATAATAACTTTGACATCACATACATTATGACCCTGTTGCATAATCTCCTGTTCCAACATGCTCTTGACTGACATGCACTCACATTAACACATAAACAGCCTTGATTAAATCATAATTATTTGATAAAGTCAATGAAGATGTGATCAAAATGAGCTCTGTTTTAAAAGATGTTTCGCAAACACCCAATTTAATCTTATTCTATGACGACCAGGCGAGTCGGTGCAATCAGATTAAGTAGTGCAGAGAGATTAATGAAAAGCAAATTTATCTTTAACTTTATAAAGTGCTTTTTGCCTCTAGACCTTAAATACTAATAAGCAGTTATTTATTTAGCTCCAAGTTCTGCAACACAGAGAATGCAAAAAGTTAGAAATGCAAAAAGTTCAAAGATCTTTGCATCCAACACACCCCCAGTTTTCAACAGATCTCAGCTTTTCTCATTCACCAGGTGGGAACCGTTGATGCCACGGTAGGTGACACGGCTGGGTCGGACCAGCACGCCATAGCCGGGCCGACATGTAAAGTAGCGGTGGCCGCCCACAGACCCGTCGTTCTTCCCCTTTGGGCTTCGAAGCTCCAGCCCCAGCCAGAGCCCGGAGGCAAAGTCTGTGGTTCCCAAGAAGCGGACGAACGCCATCTCGTTGGCGCTGGTCAGGAAGACCTGCATGCCCACATGAAGGCGCACCTGGCCGTCAGAGCAGGATGACAGACTTGATCCTGCCATGCTTCCAGGAAGTCCTCCACTGCTGCCACTGAGGGTGCTCCAGCGACGTCGGTGAGGGGTAGAGCGACTTCTTCATGTTTTGTGAAAGAGTGGAAAAAACAGCAAGGAAGATTTATGAGAAAATATGTGTTGAGAAAAAGAAATATCAGGTGATTTATGAGCTCAGGGCTTGATCCTCAGGTCATTCTCTTTAGAATACTGTAGCCATTTCAAAACTCCTGATTCTGACACTGCTGCAGGAGGATTAGGATGAAGCTGAAAGGCTCAGGGAAGAAAGATGTGAAAACTGTTTTAAAAAGATTCTCACCTGGAAACCGGGCTCCTCCTGTTCCCCTCTTTTGGTGTGGCGATGGCTGATGATGTGCTGAAGCTGCGACGAATTGTCCCTGCATGCCGGTCATAAGAGTCAAGTACATTCCACAGAGATGCATGCTAAGAACTGTCCTCACAGAGAGAAAAGTAGAAATGTCTCCAGTCTAAAGTTTCCATCCACTCAAAATTAAATGTTGCAATTTCAGAGAAAGAGAAAAGGTTGTTGAGCATTTCTAGTTCTATTTACTCAACTGCGTTTTTTTGACAGATGGCTGGAAAGATGTAATACGTTTTTTTAAATGGACCTTAAAAGCATCACAACGTAAGAGAAATAACATCATCATTGTTCCAAAAAGCTTTTTATGCGTTTACAAATATTCAGAGAACTTGGTTGCTGTAAGACGTTGAAGGTTAAATCTCCAACATCTCAGTTCGGGCATATTTTCAGAAAGCTTGAGATCTGTGCTACTTGCCTTTGTCAGAAAATAATTTCCCACGACCTAAGAAGAACTGCAATGTAAAGTATGTAATGTAAACATTACATACTTTGGAATAAAAGAAGATCTCCCGACCATAGGAGATGGATAGACATCAGCCAAATATAAAACAGGTTCATATTTCCAGTTCATATTTTCAATGCATGTTTTCGAAGATTTAACTACCAAAGTTGAAGATCTATCTAAATAAAAGTCCATAACAAAGTTGAAATCACCACTAATTAGACTATTATTAGAAATGTGTGGTTTAAGACCTTTCTAAAAAATTGAGGGTCATTGTTATTTAGTCTGAATACATTCAGTTGGGTTATTGCGGTATAACATACCTCCCATCCCTGTCCACTGAAGGTATCCAATTAGGCTTGCATGGGTTTCAATAATACATTCAAACTTCTGTCCCCAGTTTGGGTTTTGAAAATCCATGCAGTTTTTATAATTTAAGAAGAAAACTGTTTAATGGATACTTAAAATCCAAAAATTAATGACATTCCATGAGTGCATGAAAACCTCTGTCTGCAGCTGTACTTTTCACATAATTGAGTCTAATCCTTACCGCTGACTGGATGACTGAGTCGTGATGTGGTGAGCTCTGAAAGGCAGTCGACGGAACCGTGGATCCTAGGAGGAAAGGAATTAAGTATTAGTCTCCTCCCTGAGGTCTTAAAGTAACCATAGTGCAAGAATAAATTTTTTAGATCTCAAAACAAAGGCGACAAATAGTTGCCAGCAGCGATCTTGCAACAGCCATATTGTTTTCTTAACCTCCTCTAAACCTGACAAACAGAAGGTCTGAGCACAGATACAAAACAATAGGCGTCAGAAATGAGAACAGTTAAAAGTACAGAAACAACAGCAAAGTGCATTTGTGAAAGGATGGAGCATCTACTTTCCTAATAGGTCACAATAGATGCAGATGCTGACAGCAGAAGAAACAAGGAGGAGAAGTAAGCTTCTGAAGAAGAATACAAAATCCTTCATTAGACAGCTGGAAAGCATGCGCGCTCTCTACTCTGAGGTTAATTAGGAAATAAAAGAGGAAAGAGAAACAAGAGCTGACTCCCCAAAAAGCAGCTTCTATCTAAAGGAAGCGCTAAAAAAATAAAAATAAAAGTAACAAGAAAACCCTGAGAGAAAAACATGAACAGAGACAAATCATCCAAAGAAATGAAAGTGCTACAGTCCATCAGCTCTGATAAACTCTTTCACAAACGCACACATTGTTATAGATGACAGCTGCCTTTTAATGCCTTTTATTCAGTTATGACCATTATACACTTGAGGCGCTCTGCTGCTAATGTGCCGTCCACTAAGTCAGTGATTCCATGAATAATACTGTCAGAGAATTTCCCCAGGAAAAAACTGATTTAATAAACAGCCACTTTGGAAATCCTTACAATTAACGAAACATCTGTATCGGCACTAAAATAACCTTAAAAAACTGAGGTTATTGAAAAAAACAATTTTTTTTAACTAGTCTGATGAGAAGCAAAAACCTTGAACAGTTGCTGCCCAGCTGCATACTTATTAATCATGTAATATACGTTCAGTGTAAAATACAGATGCTGCAAACTAATTATTGTTTTTCTAATTTTGCTGTTAGGGACGCACTTTAATTATTGATCAACAAAAATTATTAGAATCATAACAACCAGGAGCTTTAATTTGTTCACAACAGTAAAAAGGAAACCTTTGAGTCATGGGAAAATTTAATTAGGGCAAAGCTGCAAGGTTTAATATTTCATACTGAAAGCAAGAAGATTAACATGTACACATGCCAAAATACCAGAACCAATATCAGAACAATATGTAGTTATAACGTTTTCCCAAACAGATTTTCTGATTACTGTCCATAAAAACATAAAATGTGTTGCAGGAATTTTGATAAAAGTAGCAATTTAAATCCACCGGGAAAATAAGCAATCGCAGATTATCCCTATCCAGGCATGAAAATAAATGCTTGTCATCCCAGACAACAATAATTTTGGGGATTGATATGGTTTTCTTATGTTGTTTGACATCTGAGTGACTGATTATAATATTTCCCCGATGAAGACTAGAACATGTAAAAGAAAATGTGGTGGAGGATCCTTCAAAGAGGTAGCATTTTGAATCAGACTGAACATGATGTGCCTTAGTTTCATATCACAGACTCCCAACGTCTCTCTGCTCAGCTTTCAAACCATGCAGCCAGTTCAGGATTTAAAGACCTCATTTGCACAAGCAAATGAGATGGATTAGCAGTGCTTGCCAACAACTGATTGTGAAATCCAGGACATGTTAATGAAATCTTTCTGCTCCCTGGATATTGAGCTAACATGTCATGACAGCAACAGTCTTCAATTAGAGGCCTCTAGAGTTTATGAAAGACTGATTGCTGCTGGAGATTCTTCACAGCCCACAGCATGACCATCTACAACGACACTGAGGATACGAGTGATGCCAGTATTTACTTTCCTTTCGGAATAAATAAAGTGCTTTTAATTATTGCTTTTAGAGATTGAAACTGGTTTGAGTTTTTAGTTTTGGTGCACTCAATAAATGTAAGAAGAAAAAAAACTTACATTATTTTCACGTGAATTATGGATCACAATCAAAGATAAATTGGAAGATTGCAATCTGTGGCTGGTTGATTAGTATTCCCACATCCCTATCTGATTTTACCATGAAAAAAGTTGCAGAGAAAATATTTGACTTTATGAAGTAATAAAGTAGGAGTTTTCATCTTGGCTCATTTAATTAAGAGTGAAAAAAGAAAACTGATTTCAGTGTCTGTCAATCAGCTGCCAGAGTCTGATTTTAATCTTAATGCTTTCTACTTTTTCCATCAGGTGTTGACACACACTAAGAGCAACACTGGTACAATGCTGGTTATTGTTAGTTCTAAGTATAGCAAAAGGGATTTATCTTCAAATTGGGAAGCTGCAACAACAGAAATAAACAACTTGAAAAGCTTTTGGAGACACATTATGTGTCTTACATTGACAGGAAAGGGGCTAGCTGGTTGAGACAAAATGGATGAATAATAGAAATACAACAGAAAAATTTGTATTTCTGTACTTTTTTCAGATTTTTATAACAAAACCAATCTGCTCACTCTTCCAGACTGCCTTGTTGTTGTAGTTTAACAACCAAAAAGCCCTGCAACAAATCTGCAGCTTAATCATCTTCTGATTTGCCATCTAAAAACAGATGCATCACAGACATCACATTTTAACATACAGTTTAGCTGACAACCTGTTGTGCGAATATGTCTTCCTTTAAATATTAGTCATCTTCATTTAAAAGCAGACGTTGCAGCATCTGGCTCATTACAAGGTGTCACATTAAATTGAAAAGTCTTGCTGAGCGAAGGCTCTGGGCTCCACGTTTGATAACTCTGACTCAAGTTAATCACCAGAACAGAGGAGAAGCATTTACCGCACAGAGGGCGAAATCAAATATGTCAACGGCCACGCAAATGACACTGTCAAAGGAACTCATTAGTGCCATCAGACGTATATATGAGGGCAATCAAAAGCAGCCTTGGGGATTTATTGTTGAATCTGCTATGAATGTTAAATAATTCAATTTTTTTTCTGGTTAAGTCCATTTGATTTTCTCTGCAAATGACCACAGAAGAAAACTTAAGGTTTGTCAGCGCAATAAAAAGTGGAGGTTCTCACCTTTGAACACGAGAAGGAGGAGCAAAGACTCCATGTTTTGGAGGGCAGCTGAAGTATCTTACGCCTCCCACTGAGCCATCATTTTTGCCATTTGGCTTGTCCAGTTCAATGCCGAACCAGATACCTGCAGGAAAATAAATCCAAAGACATCAAAACCACACAAGAAAAGATGCACGGAACAGAGTTTTTATATTTTAGATGCGCGCCGACACCTGAAGCTACGTCACCAGTGATACTCATTAACAATGTGAACATCTTAAAGGCTAAACCATTAAACGTGAGGGTACATGGTTCCTGCATATATATATATATATATATATATAGTTTGTACCAGGTTTACATTCAAAAGAATATACATTTCCAGGTTTCTACAGATTGTGGTGGGTCTCCATGGATGTGGTATTCTGACTAATTCACCTTTTATAGTTAAACTGTAAAGCCCCTCTACTAATGAGACCCTACTTTTAGAGATGCAAAGCAGCTTATAAACAACCCATCTATGGCTTGTTTATAAGTCATCTATACAAGTCATTGCTTGTGGCTCCTTGCTGATAAGATTTTTTATGGGTTGAAAAATGGGAACTATATTACCAACTAAAAGAAAGTTCAAAGTTAAGTTTTGCACACGCACATTAATATGCTCACAGTCAAGTAAAAAAGAAGAAGGAAAAAAAGGAAAGAAAACATGTTTGTTTTTGGTGCACTGAAGTTAAAACGAAACGGCGTTGATTTAAGAGTATCAAAGGGGGAAATAAGACAGAAATCCTGTCGTGGTGTGAGACACATTAGTATTTATTTATACATGACTGATGCCTGAGGAGAATTGCTGTCTAAATATTAATGAGTCGTGTAAACTGCTGTGTTTATGTTGGGTGAGGGTTTGGTCTGAAGAAGTTTTTTGTACTAAAGTGAATTTTTCAGGACTCTTTCCTGTTAAACCAGAGAATTTCCACTGCAGTAGTTTGTTACAGTATGTAAGTATGAAGCAAAAACCAGAAAACATGAAATAGGAGTGTTTAACTTAAGAACCATGTGTGCATCATTTCATAGGAATTTGTTTCTTTCCCCAAATCTAAAAAACATAAAATATTAACTATTTGAGAGCCATTACTTTCCGAAACAGAACTGTTGCAATGTCTCTACGTCTCTGGCTCCTGTTGTAAAGAATGCCAACTCACAACAGGAAGGTTAGATAGAAGATCATTTAAGTACAGTTTTTATATCTTCTGTTGTAATTCTTAAAGAGGAATGTGTTGTAGGTAAAACCTTATCACAAGGTCAAGGTTTCTCAAAGCTATGTCACAAAGCTAAGTCACAAAGCTAAGCAGAGGAAAATGTATATTTACTAACCAGGAGCAAAGCTGGTTTTCCCACAGAACTGAACTACACCAGTTCTCTGTCCCGCCACCAGCACCCTTTCCCCTTGTCGAACCTCAGAGCCGTCATTCAACAAGCTGCTTCCTGAGGAGGTTCTACTTCTGAAACCTGCAACGCATGCAACAAAAGCCAGTTCAAGGTTCATGATGCCAGGATCTTCCTGAAACCTTTTGAGTCAGTGTTTTGTACCTGCAGCCGAAGGACCTGAGGAGCGGAACGAGGAGTGGAGTGCAGGTGATGGCGTCATCCTGGGACCAGGGGAGATGTTCTCCTTTCGCTGCCTGGCAAGGAGGCGCTGCCTAGGCAACGGACGAGGTCGGCCACCTGACCCATGACGAGAGTCCAACGAAGATGATGAAGACGAAAGGGAGCGAGAAAGAATACCTGTGGGGGGTAGGAGGATCATAGAAAAAATTAGGGAAAGAATGTGCAACCATAAGACCAAACATTTATGTTAGGATCCGACCATGCCGTGCAGCAGAAAACAAACACGAACATCACATTATTGTTCAGGTTATTATACACATTATTATACACATATATTATTATACACATTATTCAAGTAAAATTCAACTTTCTCCGTTAAGAAGAAAAGACAGACTGACAGAGACAACTAGAAGAGAAAAAGGAGAACACGGGAAAGACAAAGAGTTATCCACAGAGAGGAAAGGAGGTAGAATGCAAAGAAGAAAGAAGAGAGCAAAGAAAAACAAGAACTAAAATGAAGAAACATAGGACACCAGAACGAAAAAAATGGCACAATGGAGAAAAGAAAAGAAAGATGAGGTTTGAAGGACAGATGGGAGAAAATTTAAAAGGTGCAAGAAAGAAGGTCAGAAACAAAGTGAAAAAAATTTTGGAGGAGGAAGAAAAAGGGATACTAGGAAAAAAGGAAGCGAGAAAACGAAAAATACAAGTACATGAGGAAGAAAAAATGGAAGGACAACACTTAAAACAATGATATAGAAAAAAATATGGAATTTAAATTTCCAATGCTATCCTTTACTGGAAAATACTGACACCAAGTTGCACTCTTTACCAAACAGTTCTAGACTCCATATCAACTCTGAAACATTAGAACAGCAGTTATTTAAAGAAACGGGAAGAACCAAATGTACCTGTTCCCTGCGTACAATGAATCCACCATCTTTCTGTTCATGTCTGACTCAACCTACAATTAACAATGATCTGTTGTTTATTTGTGACATGCAGGATAACAATCCAGACGATTAAGGCTGGAATTTTCAGCAGCACAAACCAAGAGACCTTGTTCCTTTTGTTTGGTGTGAGCGATTACTGGAATCCAACTAAAGGCTGACGTGTTAATGCCCTCCTTCAACATGGGGGGATAAAATGAAGCAGAGGGCTCCAATTCCCTCTTTAGAGGCCATTTGGGTGCAGGACCTCATTAGGCTTTTACCTTCCCACAGACCTTCCCAGGCTGCAAGTTCATTAAATGGCCGCTGCTCTGAGGGTAATTGATTTGGTCTGTGCCAAAGAGCTTTAAGAGGAGGTTCAGGTCCAAACAAACTGAAAAACAGACAGTAATGAAAAATAAGCCTCTGGTTTATGTTTTGAATCTATGTTTCATTACAATTTGCACTATGCTTTCGGTATAAATTTTGTTTGTCGTCATCACTGAGCGAGCTCCCCAGAAAAACAGGTTTTGATGCTGGATTCACACATTACAATTTCGCAAGATCAAGTGGTTTATGAGGTTTACAGTTTCCACACTTTTAGTAAAGCTCTACACTAATAATGCAAACATTCCCAAACCACAATCTCTACACCAACTCAGGAGTCAGCACACACCACAGTACCTGTGTTATTGACTGAGGTGTTGTCCTCTGTGCTTTGACTGGGACATGGTGGATGCTTTTCACTGTCAGGTGTTTCTTTAACAGAGGATGATAAACCTTTCCACACAGAGACATTCAGTTCTTAATTACACACAGAGTGATGATAAAAAGACAGGATAACACACTTTCATTTCTAGGACATAAGGTACCAGCACATGAAATGGTCACGTCTTTACCGGCTTAAATAATTATTCAAATTCAGGCTTAAGTACACAGTAGCAGTGGATTCCACAGAGCCATTATTTATTGAACCAAACATCAAACCAACAAGGGAAAGAAGGATGTAAGTATTAAGTACATCCATGTTAAGTCCATTGTGTTTTCATTTAAGAGAACACAGTGTATGGTTAGTATCTCCAAGGTCAGAGTTCACAGAAACAGTAATCCGAGGACTCTGATCTATCAGAATCTAAAGATCACAAAAAAAAATATTTGTATTGGCACAACGATACAGAAAAACCCTGGTCACAATTACAGGTGGGTAGTAACCAATTTAATTTACTTGAGTGACCTTCTGATTCATATTTACTACTGGGAGTAGTTTACTTTTGCAAGGTACTTTACTTTAACTTGAGTAATAATATTTTGAAGGAGCGCTACTCTTCAGTAAACTTTATCTAGTCTAGAGGTCATTCATTCATTCATGGTGGTTAGATACACTGCAGCCACAGCTGCCCTGGGGTGAGGTTGCTACGCACCAGCAACACCAGGCCCTATGACCAGCAGGTAAGGCGGGTCAAGTGTCTCGCCCAAGTACACACGACTGAGATAGAAAGTTCTAACTTGAACTGTGAACTGTAAAAAGTGTATCACTCCAGAAGGAAAAGAAAACATCCTTGAAACAGGAGGACTTATGTAAATAGCAAAACAAGCAAACAATTTTTTTTCCAAAGTAATTTAAATATGCCATGACAAGCAATTAAATCCAAGCCAAATCTGAAATGGCAGCAAACAAAGCATTTAAAAAAAATATCACATGGCACATTACTAACAGTATTCTCTCTCGAGGCAGAAAATAGCTTATAAATCATAAAACTTTGCAACTTCAGTGTTACCTCACTTGTAGCAGTAAATTAACTACCATTTAAATCACAAAACATTTTTAATTGGACATTATCGAGCAAATATCTGAAGCAATTGTAGAGAGAAGAACATCCCTAATGAGGATTCAGGCGACACATTCTCAAGTGTTATTTAAAAGAAAATACGAAAATCAGACAGGTACTGTATTTGTTTTAATGTTTTTTAGTCCAGTCAAATGTTTTCCAACACTTGACTGCATTCAAACTTAGAATAGCAAACATTTGTTGTCAGTTGACCTTTGCTTGCAGAGCCCTGCAGGTGCCATCCATCCCCATTCATGCCCTGATGTTCACTTCAGGTGGCAAAGGGAGGCTTTACAAATCTAAGCAGAGCTCCTTTGTGATGCCACGTATTTACCCTCTGCACTCTAAGGCTGGCCCTAATTGGGACCAGGCTGGCATTCTCCCTCTTTGGTCTGACTTGGTTAGAGAACAGACAGTTGCACAATGAGTGAACCAATCTGATCGATAAACAGGAGCAAGCCCTCTCCAGCAGTGATCCAACGGGCCAGTAAAATGCAGGTGTCTCTGAAAGTTGGGCTGACAAAGGCCTGAGAAGTGAGCAGTCATAAATTAGCCTAGTTCAGGTTGAACAACAGTGCAGACACGTTTGCCCTCAGATGCATTGTACGCTGTTCGTAAACACTCACTCACACACCTTGTGATTAATAGCTGCCAGGCTACTCAGCCTGTCTATGCCCTAGTTATTAAACTCAGCTTAATTGGACTATCAATCACCGAACAGCACAGGCCTCTCTAAGGTCCGGTATTCCAGTCACATCCCGATCAATCGGTCTTCAGAACCCTGACAATTACAACACCACAATACAGCTGTAAACCTGAGAAGTGGCAGGAATAACGAAAACATAAGACAAGGTTTCTGAAGGAAATTAACAAAGGAAGTCATTTGTCAGAAGTTGGTGAAAACGAGCGTTCAAGGACTGAGAGAGCAGGGTCTAATGTATGCATTGTCCTTTGGCAGTGGTTCAGAACCCACTTTCAAGGAAGATTAATATAAAAAGCTATGATGCAATAAATCTTGGATGCAGTAACATAGTTCATTCAGGATAGGCAAAATAAAATAGGATTTTGTTCAATGGAGAAAAAAACAAGCATAAAAATTACATCTATATGAGACTAAACCGTTTATTAGGACATGGCTTTGGTCCTGCTTTAGTTACCCTGCAGGGGGCCAAAACACCTCAAAATGCTAGAATGAAAACTGACAAGACATACAATAAAATGTATCTATATAGCACAAATTGCCTCCTAGAAATAGGAGGCTATTTGTGAGAGCAAGTGTTTAAGCATCCCTGAATGGCTGCCAGTGGAGATTCAACAATTTCTCTAACAAGCATGAAAAAAAATCAAAGCATGTGTATTTTTGATAAGTGAATAATAATATAGATGATGTGAAGCTCAAAAAGGTCTTTCACATAATATTCCTGTTTAAACATGCATGTTTAAACAGGTTGATGTAATTGGATCATTGATAGTTCAATTATTAATATGATCATGCATCATTAAATCCTTCTGGTTTACCAACATCTAAGTTTACAACAGCCATATCATGCTACAAGCAACATCTTTTAACATTTGTGAGATGAAAATGAGCTTATAACCAGTATTTTCTTGATAAGCATTACAATGCAAGAAAGCCATTTAGGGGCGCATTCTTGTTACCCTAAAGCCGTGGCCGTTTTTCTCCAACAATGTATCCATGGCCGTCTCCAGTGAATGGTACAAGAAATCCTCCGACATGAAAAATCATCTGTCCCCTTTTGACAAGATTTTTTCATCCACAGTTAGGAATTCTTCATTCCTTTGGGCCAGTTGGCTTCTCAAGCTCTCCGTCTCTGTGGTTGAGGTTATGACATGCCTTTTTATTACTGTACATAGTGGCAGACCTCCTCAGGGAAGCATATTTTCCTAAAAGCTTTCATGCTTCACCTTGTTACAATGTTCAGTGAACCTGACAGAGCCAGAACACAGCTTAATCCTATGAGCAGAACCAGGGAAATCATTGTTCAACCAGACAGTGCTGCCACAACAAAACCCGGTTCATAAATGTTTCCGATTCAAGTGAATCTGAATTACAAATGCACTTCAAGAGCAGCTCTTTTTTGTTTTTTTGTTTTTTTTTACCTGTGTTAATCTTGGACGTAACGCGGGACACGTCAATGCGACGAGGAGGGCGCAGAGGAGGCTTTGTAGAGCTCGATTTATGTTTTTCCAAGGGTCTACTTATCTTGGACAAGGGAGCAAAAATTCCTATGAAAAAAAGCATGGAACAAAACAAAGAGTCATGACTCAGATTAAAGAGTGGATGAGGCAATGTGTTTGATCATTAAGCATTGCAGCATGACATGGCCCACCATGTTTGAGTCGACAGGTGAAATACTGAACCCCTGCTACGCAGCCATCATTCTTCCCCTCTGGTTTATCTAGCTCCACTCCGGCCCACAGGCCTCCAGAGAACTCTGTGCTGCCGCAGAACCTTAACGTCCCAACCTGCTAACACAAAATAAATATCAAACAAATACGAAACATTGCAGTATTGTATTACAGAGGATCAAAACTAAAAAATAGAATATAAATATGTGAGCCCCTTGATGAGATTATGAAAGATATAATGTGGAGAATAAACCTACAGCTAAGTTGCACATAAACAAAGACGAACACTGCCACCTAAGGGGTGAAATACAGTCATTCTGCAGTCAGAGTAGCCTGATGTGTGGGGGATAAGCTTGGGACATATATTTGAATCATAGGACAATCAAAAATCTAATTAAAAATCAAAAAATGTTCTCCCTGTGAAGCAATTAGATTACAGCACAAACTTTATTTAATGAGATTGAATATTTTGATTTAGTGAAGATATTTTTGTACCTTATTTGCAATGCTATGTTGATTTGAATAGTAAATTTGAAAATATTCCAGTTAAACGCCACAGCTGACAAATCTAACAACCTCCAACATTCTTAATCCAACAACCTCACCAAATATGATATTTGCAAGTTCTTGCAAAATGTAACTTTTCCTATGAATCACTGAAATCTGATTAACTTGGATCCTTAGATTATGCTTTCTATTGCTTCAATACAAATGAAAATTTTTAAGGTCTCATTTAAATTGAATAAACTTCTGAGCACAGAGTAGAAGAAGCAGTCCTTTGTGTTATAAATTCAGTTTCTGGGATCTGGTGGTGATTCAGTTTTTCAAAGTTGTGCAGAGAGAAAAAAAACATTTAAAAACCCAGTCCCTAACATCACTGCATCAAATTTTCTCTTCTGTGTTGTGAGGGTAATAGAAAAGCTGCAAGTTTATAGAAACAGAGCTTTAAGTACTAAGTTCATGCTTTTCAGCATTAATGGATTTGTGCAACAGTGTGCTCTGAATGTAGAAACAAAAATTGGACTTTCTAGATGCTCAAAACAATATTTCACACACTTGTAAAATAAAGGTCTATTCCAAAGCAGACGTAAAAAATGCATAAAGCCTTGAGACTCATAAGTTTCATAAGTTGGATCGGAAACTTTTTTGCAAGTCCAAGGGGGTGCAGATGCGGTCAGAATTTTATTAATTAAAAGCTTTAAATATTTATTTGGACCACTTTTTCCCAGGGTGGAATATTCAACTTTTTAAAAAAAACAAGAAATGTGATCACAATTTGAATACACAGTTTTTACTCTAATCCACAGAGATGTACAAACACCTCCACTAATATTTAGTGAAACATGTCTCAAGTTGCTCTTAGTAGTCACCAACAATGTGAATCTGAATAGTTGACCAGTCTTCTTGGAGGAATTGGCAGAAATAATTTAAGGTGACTAGATCCCTGGCATTCCCGTTACTACAAAGTGTTGGAAAAAAATCACTAGTCTAACATTAGCCGGATTTATTCATTTTAACATAAATTTAATGTTTGTTTCCGATCATTATGTCGCTAGAACACCCAATTGTGTTCAAGTTTCAACCATCGAGCTGTTCCTCTGAGGGTACCTTGAAGAATTCAGGAGTCCTCCTGCTTAAAAAAATTAAATAAAAGAACAATGATCTGGTGTTGAATCTTAAGAGTTTTAGAAATGGCTGCCAAAATACTTCCAACTTGTGCAAAATCTAGAATTGGATTTTGGGTCTTCATCAAGGTCCATAGACTCCCTGTTCTGAGATTTGGTTAATCCAAAATTGCTGTTCATTTAATTCTTATGTTGGCAGGCACATTTTCTGCTGCATTCTCTCTCTATGACTGGTGGGAAAATAATAGATGCTGGACCCCTCAAGTTATTAGTGAAAAAAATTTTTTTTGGGAAAATGATTTATTTTTTGCCTACACACACCCGCACAAAAATTACTTTCATAACTCTACAACAGAAAAGGAGGGGGTTAGAAAAAAGCAGTAAGAGCTTCAAACAACTGTAAATGCAAAATTTATCAAAAAACATCAATATAAAGATGACTGATAAAGTTATGGAAATATACCAAAGCAAGAGTCAGGTATTTGATTCAACCAAACAGAATTAACCACACATCATGGCACAATCATAAATGTTAACCCATTCAAAATGAGTGAGGTGGTACTTGTGATCTGAACCTCAAATTAAAACACATTTTCTTCCCAGAGAGGTGAGCCTTCTCTGCTTTCTTAGAGCTTTATGTCAAAAGGATTATACATGGTTCAAGCATCATGCCGATTATACTTGATCACCAAGACTGAACATTTTCTTTAGGTATAAAAACATTTTATGACAAAGACATTTTCTGATACATGCTGTACCTCAAATAAATACAAAAAAAATGTAGTTTACTGTTGTGACACTGCAACAATTTGACAGCGAAGAGCATAAATTGCCTGCTAGTGAGGATATTCCTGAAACGTAACCTGTAATTATACTGTGACTTGTCAAGAGACTTTGCATTAATGCTCATTGGAGTGCTGGTTTGTGCTGATAACAAGTGTGCCACTTTGAGGCAATAAACATGTGTAATGAGCTCTAGTGAGAAGTATGAACAACAGTCACAGTCTAGTCAACACCGTTGGTGGTGCAGATCAAAGAAAGGTGTAAAAGAAGATGACTCACAGGCAAAGGAGATGCATAATGAGTACAGGCCTTTCACTCACAGATGCAGTCTGAAACGGATGTGTGCAGCCTGTGAAATGCATTTAAGATGATCTATAAAAAAATACTAAATAGTCACATCGATCTGAGATTCGGTTCCATCCTCACTGGCATCACACCGAGGCTTGCTAAATAGTAAATTAAATAAGATACTCCTATATTAGGCTAAAAAATACCAGATTGTGACTCGCTGCTGCTGGGAAACGGCTTATTTAAAAAAAAGTTTCTTGTTTTTTGCAAACACTGATTCCTAATTAGAAACTTAATCTAGTACAGTAATGAGATTATGACAAACAAATATATTAGAGGTCTATTTGATCCAGTACCGCATGACTGACCTCTAAGCAAGACTTCTCCATTAGAGAAAAAAAAAAAACAGATTGTCTCTTTTCCTTCGTCAGCACCATAAAAACAAACCTTCTGTCCAGCAATCACCACGCGATCCCCAAGTCGGATTCCCATGGATGCGAGCTGCATCCTGGCCTTATCAGAGACAGCAGGGATGACCTGGCCTTGTAATGTGAGGGGTGACGGGGAGCTGGGTCTTGGTAAAGCCTGCCTCAGCAGAGTCCGGAGCTCTTTGGCCATGGCGGCAGCATCTGCCATCTCCAAGGGCATGTCCAGTGGATCAGGTACAACATCTGCTGGACACTGTCCTTTGTCATTCTAGAAAAAGAGGGACGACTTATTTAAGAACTGGATTTCACTTATTTAAAAAAGAAAATAAAACTGTAAAAGGCAATTGGTAAAATAAAACAACCTGCTATTCCACAACTCTCCAAATATTAAGCAGGTATAGAAGATTTATACATTCTTTCATGTTTATGTTTGGGTCTATTTTGATCCGATAAAAAAAGCACCACAAAGAACAGATTGTTTACCATTTTCAAAGAAAAAATGGCCACTACTTGGAATATAATATTATATGTAATATAATAAGAACAATTGTGTCAATGCACTTGGATCGTAGCAAATAAGTTCATTTCTCCAGTTAATTCAGCTCAATTGTATGAATCGCTAAAATGCTCTATTTATTTATTTAATATTTAAATTTATAACGATTTTAAGCTACAATTTCTTAACTGTGGTTCTGATCCTAATATGTGCCAGTTGAATAATATGAAATATTATGACTGCAGATTAAACCCAAAACAAACTGCCTTGAGCAGGTGTATATTGTTTCAAAAGAAATAATTGTCCTGCAGGGGACCATGAGAAATAAATTATGGAGAATTACCTTAATTTTAAAACTATCAAAACGCTTTCAAATCAGGTTAAAAAAAAATCAAAAATAAAACTCCCAGACAGGCAAACCTCAGCGTACGGTCAGTATAGTCTCAATGCACATTGCATTTTCAGATAATAACTAACTAAACCGCAAAGGTAAGAAAGGCCGAAGGAGGAAATGGCCCACAAAGAGCAAATTATGATGTCAAGGCTTTGGACATTTCTGATAGGTTAACTGAGACAGTTGAGCTAATAAGAGGTTCACCTGTGAATGTATTTAAAGTCACATCTTGAACACACAACTTTTTTTCAGCACAAAGGGGAAGTAAAAAGAAATCTGCCAAAATATCAGGAAGAGAATTTTCTGGTTCATCCTTGAGAACAATTTCAAGATGCTTGAAGGAGCTGCTTTCATCTGTTCAAACAATTATACGCAAGCATAGACATGATGGGAAAGTCTAACCATCAAACCCCGGAGGAAGGAGATGGGTTTTTTGTCCCAGAAATGAAAGTGTTTTGGTATGAAATGTACAAAACGGTCCCAGAACAAAAGCCAAGGACCTTATGAAGATGCTGGGTGTCATTCACAGTGACACGTGTCCTGTACCATCATGGGCCGAAAGCCACCCACTGCCCAACTACAAGAGTTTTACTTTTACTCAACTGCAGCACTACAGAAGACCAAGCTTAAAGGAAAATCTTCAAGCTCAATGAGAAAAATACAGGACTTCTATCTAGTTTTCTATGAAGACTTCTCCTTCTGCGCTTTAATGAGAAAACCAACTTCTACTGCATATTAGACTCACTATCACTTCTGCATCACAGAGGAACATCAGAACTTGTGTGCACCTTTTGAAAGAGATCACTTATTTCTCTCACATTCTTTAATTATATTTCAACTCCCAGAATGAAATCCCCTTCAGTACATTTCAAAGGAGCTGATCAGCAGAATGTAACGGGACGGTTTACTCAGGTGACTCTACGACAGTGAAGATAGACATCTTTGAGTCAGCAAGCTATATTTCAGGAGGAATGGTGCACAGGGAGGTTGTTGTAGAGGTCTGACAGAGGAGAAACCTCAGCAAGAACACTTTATTTGGTTATTTTATGTGGTTTATACAGCACAGTCACTATTCAAGTGCAAACTATTCAAATAGTTTGCACTTGTTAATGTTCAAACACTAAGCGAATGTCCGCCCCTCACAATCTGCCTTGTGTGTGGGTAGGTGAGACATTGAGGCAAAAGAAATTAAATGCTGTAATACCTTTACTCATACAATAGTTTCTTTATTGGAAAAAGGTCTAACCAAGTCATCTCCACATATCCAGTTGTGTTAATCACAGTTCATAATCAAATTTAATCCCAAGCAATGCCTCACAGCAAGACATTCTTTAAACTCTTTCCCACACTGACATCGACAAGCTGCAAATGGCTCTTTCTCCCACACAGCAGCCCCACTGTGTCTACAACAGTTAAATTATAATGTTCAGGGCTTGTCAACAGGCATGCTGGAGAGTTATTTACAGCCAGAAAGAGGGCATTTACTGAAAAGAGTTTCACATTTCTATCCACTACAATTTATAGGCAAACTGAATTTCAAAACAGCAATTCTTTACGTGACAACCATCAGAAATTATTTAGAACATGTATGATAGTCAGGAAAGTGATACTTGTAGGCAACCATTTCAAAATTTGGGACGATGGTGTTTGAGAAAACAAGTCAGACATTACTGATGTCTGACGTGACATTGGTAATGTAATTTGAGATTGTCCAAAAAACAAAGAGTTCAAATTGTTGGACACGTTAACCGATGTGTTTCTTCTCTAACCTTGCCAATATACTGTTTTATTTGCAAAGTTCAAGCAGGTTCATGGGCAGATTTTTCTGTGGTAGAACAAAGTTTGAATTAATCACATTTATTAGTGTGCATCAGACCTGCTGTGTTTAACCCCAAAGTGAGTTTTAATTTAGTGTGTCATATTCAAAATATTTAAAGTTATTAATGCCTGAATATTAATGTTTACATCAAATGGCACCTTAAGACTGCTGACCAAGGTTGTAACCAAGGAGTTTTTAAACAGGGCTAAATGGATGATAATTTTGGCTGTCCCCAAATGTTAAAGGTCACTTCAATACCCTGAACTCCACCAGGGGAATGCAGGGAAGCTGAGAAACCAACTCAAAAATCATTTCAGCTGCTTGTATCCATTTCTTTCAGTCACTACCCAGATGGCTCAAAATCATAGAAGAGTATACCAACGTAGATCAATGTTTATGTTCATCCCTACTTAATATTAAGTTGTGTTTTAATGAGACTATATTCCATTTATTTTCAAATGAATCATCAGGACTGTCAGATAAACAGATATGTCACTGTGTGAAAAAGAATACATTACTTACACATTTACAACTGAATTACTGAAATGAATACAATTTTATAACATGGTTTTCTGTTTTCAATTCATAAAATCTGCATCAACAGCAATTACTCTCTCTCTTAATCCCAACTTTCCTCTGCCTTAATTCAAGGTCTGCTCTAAAGAACCTTGCAGGGGCAGACAAGACAACCTTTTGACAAAAACATTCAATAAATATTTTAAAACATAAATGTTATATAATACAAAATAAAAGATAGACATCAGCATGAAATAGTGAATATGTTGTAAATAGAATTTCAGTCCAAGTCCTAAAATGCCACATTATTGAGCAACATCCATCTCCATAAAAAAAGAAAAAAAAATTATGTCAAGTTAAACAAATTGGATCAAAGTAAACAAAGTGGTTGTGATAAATGATGAAAAAACCGAGGCAGCAAAGTCAGGAGACACCTGGGTCAGTCATGGAGAACAATCTTACTGACATTTCAAATCAAGTCTCAGGAAAAAAAGGTTTCAACTTTTAAGAACTTAACTTTGAATATCTAAATTCAAAAGTCAGACCAGATCTGGTCTAAATATTCAAGTCCAACTATGCCCCTAGGTTTGCATTCACAGCCCAAAATAAATTGAAAAATGAACAGAGAGCACTTATGGAGGCACCACAGAGCAAGAAAATGATTGTATAATTGTGCGTAGTGCTTTGGTGACCTCCTGTGGAAGCTGCAACAAAAACAACATAAAAACCAATAAAGACACAACTGACAGCAGAAATCTCCTCAGGGAAAACTATAAAATACTCTAAAATCTGTGGTGTATTGTAATGTTGTCAAATGACAGCAAGATAGTTGATTTGTTTGAATACACAATTTCTATTTAACTTTTTTGTAGAAGGGGTACTGCTAAAAAATGTTATGACATTTAATTTAAAAACAATGTTCAGTGTCAGTCCAATCATGTTCAGCATAAGTGCATGCAGGTGAGCCTTTTTATGAGCTAAAAGAGTCAACAGATAGATTTACCACAGATGTTTATATTCAGTTCAACAATGATTGCTGTTGATTTCTTACCAGGTCAAAATGCTGAGAGGTCAGAGAGGGGCCCAAAAAAACAATGTCATATTTCTACACCAGTGAAATCTAGAAAAACTAGAGCCAGAAACCGGGTGGACAAATTCATATTAAAACAATGGATTTAACAGTTTATGGGACAGAAGATAAAGCCCAGACATACAACTATTTTCAGCAATTTCTTGTATTTGTACAAACCTGGAAAAAAATCCCCCCCCAGAAATCTAAAAACTTTTCCAAACTATATATTAACCCAGTTTGCCTTTGGATGAGCTAAATTTCAGCTGAAATAAATTACTAAGATATTTATCACCTATTAGTTAATTATGCATTTACTATATTAAATACGACAATTGAACTGTATGAACCAATTTAAAATTTGTTTGCATTATATCTAAATCTGGAAAATAATTCTTAAGGTGGGAATTGATGTAAATTATATTTCCAGAACTGCAGACCCTCCCACCTCTCACAGAAAAACAGCTGTACCTGAGGGCAGACGAATAGACCTCCTTTCTTTGCACAAAAGTAAAAAAAAAAAAAAAAGAAAAACCACTGAGTGGAATAAATAACATAGATGATTACAGCAAGGATCCCAGGAAGCCGACAAAAATAAATGCGCCTGTGGTTTTCCTACTACAGCCTGTTCTGAAGGAAATGTTCACCATTCCGTACTGACATTTTCTAAAGTCTAGACCCGGGGTGTCAACATCCAGTCCTCGAGGGCCGGTGTCCTTCAACTTTTAGATGTGCCTCTGCTGAACCACACCTGAATAGAATGATACGTCATCAGCAAGGCTCTGGAGAACTTATCTATACAAGGAGGAGGTCATTAAGCCATTTCATTCCTGTGTTGTGTACCTGTGGCACATCGAAAAACTGCAGGACAGTGGCCCTCGAGGACTGGAGTTTGACACCTCTGGTCTAGACCCATTATTTACAGGCATTTGAGCTTGTATAGCAAGCAGTTATTTCTCAGAGTCTCAGTGTGAAGCATTAATAAAAGAAAACATAGCTGTAGCTTTTGATAAACCATATGGTTCTAAAATTGCTGAAAGTTGTCCTCCCGTTTAACAAGGCACAAGATAACTGTATATGTCGCATCTTACACGGTACATATACAATGCATTTCACCTGTTTTTGTGGCAAGAAAATAAAAGTATTTTTTATCCATAAAAGTGCATAAATTGTGTAAATTATTCATACAACTGAGATTCTGCAGATGCAAAAATTTTTAACACGTTTGATCAGTTCTGTAACCTATTAACTATTTAAATCAATCAATTCATTCAGCTACTTATAGCTTTAAAGACGTGTGTTATAATTTCTGAAAACTATAAATAAAGAGAAAAATATTCAATTTTCTCCATTTTTAATGGAGGGAACTTTAAAAATTATTCCAACACCTTGTATTGGTTAAAAGTTAATTACTTATAGAGCATAATTCAAACTTTGTGGTTCTTTTAACTTTTAATATATTTTAAATTCTTATAGAAGTTGCAAGTTACACATGTTAGTAAATATAACACTGGCACTCTAGCTCAGATTAGCTAGCACAATATGCGACAGTACATCAGGAAAGTATTCGAAGATGTCGTTCGTGATGTCTGAACCTGTCATGAAGAATTAAAAAGAATCAATTCTTTTTCTAAATTAAGGGAAAATGGATCAGTGCCGAGATTCAACTCCAAACAGTTGAAATGGTGTGCTGAAATAATTCATAAACTCAGAAGTCAAGTCTGTTGGTGTGTGATTATACAGAAAAGAAAAGAAAAAAAGCATACCCTGAAAGCTGGATTAGCTCCCAACTCCAGGAGACGTTTGACAGCAGACGTGCACAAGTTGGATGCAGCAATGTGCAGAGCTGTGCCAAACTCAAAGTCACTGCAAGTGGCATCTACCTCTGCAGAGAAAAGGTAGAGGAATAAGTTTAAATTCAGGGGTAGACTACACAGTGCTGTGCGTCTCCCATTGTACTGTAATAGGAAAATTGTCAGTGTTCATACACCTTAAATATTTTTATATTTTTAACTCTTACAACCACAAACTGAGAATCGTATTTGAATTTGCTGATAGACCAACAGAAGGTAATGCATAATTGTGAATGTATTTGTACAGAGTACACTATAAAACTAGTCAAGTAATCTCTTGTAATTACTTGCACTTCCTATCTTTTTATTGTCGTCTTTTTATTTCTTCCAGGATTGTCTTGTAATTGGCCCCATCTATTCCACCAGAAGCTAATCAGAAGCCTCCAACAGCATGATGTTACCTCATGCTATTGTCATTTTAGTAAGTGATTATTGTTTTCAAAGGAACATGATATACTAGTCTTCCACTATAATTGGCATTCTGTGTGATAGAAACTTCTAGTCAAATCTAAAAAGGGAACTTGTGTACAAGTTTTCTTTATCCCCTGCATAGCTTGTAGAAAACCTCAGATGACCGATTATTCAATCAAACTGAAAAACACAATTTCTCTGTATCCACAACAAGCATTAAATACAACACCATCACCATATGCTGCCTCCATTCACCTGTGGATACAGCTAATAACCTTACAACCCAGCATGTTTACCACAGCAAGAAGATTAAATTGCTGAGGTTTTAATCCCTGTGGCAGTTGGTGCTGAAAATAGAAATGTCTTCCCTGCACTAAATGTTGCCACCCTCGTCTCCTCTCTTCTTTGGCAGCAGTTCCCTGGTCTCACCTCCAGGTGGAGAGGCCTGCAGCACCACACCAACCAGTTGGGGAACGTCAAAGTAGGCAGCGTAATGCAGCGCCCTCATGTTAGTCCAGCGTGAACGAAGGTTGGGATCAGCACCCAAGGCGAGGAGCTGACGGGCAAAACTAGCTGCCGTTTCTGCATCGCCTGAGGAGAAAAAGTATTGTTGAATTTCTTTTGGTTTTTTTTTAAGAATTTGTTGAAGTATAAGAACATTTCTTAAACTTGAGAGCTTTTGTTCAGCAGTAAAACAGAAAGAAAAGTCACAGTAGATGTGCATTGAGATTTAGAAGCAGTGGAAAAGAACTAACCAATTCCAGGAGCCCCAGCCTTACAACAGTAATGCAGAAGGCTCATATCGGTCAATCCATCTCGGTCATTCACACCACAACCTCTCTTCAGGATCTGTGCAGAGACACGATGTGCAATGAGCCTCAAAGAGGCTAATGTCACTGTAGGAATGTCAAGTAACAGTGAAACTCAGGAACAGTGAAGTGAAGAATGAAATGATCCTCTGATAATGGCACTCCTTTTTAAATTTATACAACATCAGGGACATCAAAAAGGCATTCATTTCTCCAGAGTCAGAAGAACATGTGCAAGAAGAAATAATCGCTTACTTAAACCCTTAAGAGCATTTCTCTGCACAATTTATTGCAATGCAGGTATTTTCAATAACTTCTGATAAAAAGGTTTCTGGCTGAGTGGAGAGGAAATGCATCTATACAATGTTTTCAGCTTATGTGAGGATTGGGTTGCAGAAATGAGAAATCCAGGAGGAAACATCCCTCAAAAATATTTCAAAACTTCAAAATTTGTGTGGAAAGGCTTATTAGCCAATAATACTTTTCTGGTTTAAGAGAACCAGTTCAGAAAACCCACGAAGACCTCACTGTAGCTCTAACAAGAGTTTTACTTTGATCTATTAAGTTTTCATTTAGATTTTGCATTGCAATAATAAAGCAACAACTGAGAATCAGTCACCTCAATGCCAATGACATCAATGTTTTTCTGAACCTGAGGCACCCATTGCCTGAGGACAGCAAACAGCTCAGGTATGGTGGTGTTGGGATCCTGAAGAATTTCTCTGCACTGCGGTTCAGATGGGTTAAAGAAGGAAAACTCTGGAGGAAGAGAAAGACAGGAATAATGGCAAAACTAATCTGTTGCTATTCAAAACTCCATAGAAAGATATTTAGTCCTGATATAAATTAAGTTTTAGTATTAGATTATTAAACTCCATCAGAGAACTATGATCCTTTACAACTACTCTCCTTGAATCAGATGCAGTAGTTGACATGTACTGGGACAAATGAGAATTTAACAACCCCAGTGTGGCTGAGATCAAATTGACAACCTTTCCTTTAATCTAACCAATTTAAAACCTGACATTTGATTTACATTTCAAAGAAATGTTCATTTTCAACACTACAGTCATAAAATCTATATGTTACCTGTTCAGTGACCAACAGGACTAAACAATCACATAGGTAGAAATGTTCTTGAGGGTTTCCTTGTGTCATTACATAAGGATTCCTTCTGTTATCTCCCAGAGGCATTATCGAATAACTGGCTGAATAATAACTGAATTGTGTGTTGAGAATATAAACCGTCTGTTCATTTCTTTCCAAAAGTATTAACATCCTAACATTTTTTTATGTTTTCCCAGAAGTTCAGCATGAATGATGCAAGCATCAATGACTTGATTAGGTTTCATGTCGTTTCTATCATACTTAAATAAACAGATGTTTTACAGGACATACATTTCCAGAGGGAAATTTGAAAAATCAGTGGAGTCAATTTTATAGAACTGTGGACCAAAGACTTCCTTACAATCTAAACAATTTGGGAAACATTTCCAAGGTAATGTAGACAAATGACACTAAGGATAAGGGAGAATGCTTCAGCAAACTTAGCTAGGGGTTTTCACACTTTTTGTTCTAACATTTATTTTCCAGTTGAAATCTACGAGATAAATGTCACACCATTTGTAGATGAAGTTTTATTGTGGCTTTTCTATTGCTTTTCCTGCATCACCAATCCTCTCATTTCAATCTTTGTTTTGTTCTTAAAATTTAACCCAGCCCGATTTGTTTTCATTATTAAACCAATCCTAAGATGTGACTTAACTAAGCATCTCTCCATTTCACCTGTCAGGTCATTACTTTATCATTCTTTTGTCAGAATGACCCGAATCCAGTTATCATGTATTGAGCATGAGCAGATTTCCTGAGGGAGTCTTCCCAAGGGATCAATAAAGTCAAGTCTAAGTCTATTCTCACCACAGTCACTGGGCATGGGTGCAGAAGCCACCTGGTGGATAACTGCCCGCTGGTGGGGAGCATTTCTTGTGAAGCAGCCCAGGACAGCATCTCCTTCAGCTGGCTCTGAAACATCCTCCTTTGTCATCTCCCCTGCAGAGCCTGGGGCTGGAACAATATTAGAAAGTCTATTCTGAAAACACAAGTAGGTCTTTTCTCTCAATAAAAAAAGCTTTAGCACACTGAAGCTTTCACTTGGTCCACTTCCAAAATTTTTTTTAAACAAAGTAAGCTTTCTTTTTAAAACTACTGGCCTAATGTTCAAACAAGGGGACTGCAGGAGAGGCCACATGGAGACTGGAAACAAAAACTATGCTACAGATTAAAAACAAGCTCAGATTCACACACAGCCCAAGACTTACTGTTTTCTTTTCCATTATCCCCTTTCTTGATGATCTCCATGAGAGCCTCTCAGTGGAGACAGGCTAAAAATCAAAAGACACAGACTGGGTCCAAATCCTTCCAAAAATAACTTCAAGTAAACTCGCTTTGGTCACTACAATCTCAGATAACAAACTCACTCTTTCCATTTACACCTTGTTGATCCTCTGACTACCAGGTCCAGTTGCTATTTACAGTCTGTGCACTTTAAAGCCACAGTGGTCTCACCTCTGATCTCCCAAGATGGAGTTTCACTCTCACATGTGCACCACTGACCTTACTGCCAACTCGTCTGATTTGCCAGACATCACAGACCCACACTATAGAGAATGTGACTGAAGGGTGAAAGTGCAAATAAACACGGTCCAATAGGGCAGCGGAGGTGGTTAGTGCCGTCTGTCACAATAAAGGCCTTTCTACATCCTGGTTATAGCAAGTATGCAGTCTGCTGAGGCTTCCAAAGGAAAAAAACTATTTAATAATTGTGTCTGTTACACAATTGTTTTTCCACCTCAGGAAAAAATAAAACCCACACACACAAAAAAGAAATAAGCACATTTTCAAAATACAGAATCTTATCAACAATATAAAACTAAAATGTTTTTTTATTTGATTTGAATATGTCAAATCAAATTAAAAAAAAAAAAGTTTTGCTGCATAATGTTTAATTGCAGCAAAAGTTATGCAATTACTCATTACAGAACAAACTTTCTCTCAAATGTCTGGAGAAAGCTTGTACTGATCACAAGACAGTTCAACTTTTGGCTGCGTTTTTCTTCTGTCATGCATTTCCATTTCTTTGTATTGCATTTTCTGCATGTTGCATTTATATCTACTTGTCTCCAAACATAGAGTAAAGCATCCAGCTCGGCAGTGTTCAACACCAACCAGAAAAAAAAAAAAATTCAAGGTTAATACAGGTTTTCAGGAAGCTAAAAGTTAGCTTGAGACCTTTTGTAAGAAAAATTACAAAAAGTTCAATTCATCAACTACATGAATTACAAAAATAAAATTCAATATTTCACCCAGCATCTTATATTCAACTTACTTGATAACTAAGAAAATAAACTGTCAACTTAGTAAATAAACATCATCCAGACTTTGGACACCCCCTCACTCAGGGAAATCTTACTTAAAGATGAACTTAACTTTACAATTTTAATACTGTTATCTTGGCAGATTTATTCTAATATTTCAAAGGAAAACATCGGTGCTGCTCTCCACCTTTTAGGTACAGCTCTTCTCCAACATTCCTGAATCAATTACCTACTCAGTGAGCTCTGCAGAGGCTCGGGAATTAGCTATTTATTTCATCCACGTGTGTTGAAACAGGGACAGATCTAAGGTTGCAGGACAATGAATCTATGTAACTTTAGTTGTATACATCTAGTATATATGCTCGCACACACACAGCAAGTTTGATATAGGTGCACCTCATTATTTCAACACCAGCTGCTCCACCCAAATACAGGTACAAATTAACCGGGATAATTGAGAACACCTGTGGACATACTGCTAATCATTTTATACTCAAACAGCATGCGAGATGGTAATAGGCTGGTGTTCTGTGGATTTCCGTATCATGTTGTACAGTTATTTAATAAATTTGACGTTAGCCAACACAGCATCAAGACCTGGAGAGATTAGCCTCCTCAAAAGTGTTCTCCCGCTTATGTCACCTATACCTATAACTGTGTGAGCAGAGGAAATGACGGAGTGGTTATTTTGTTGTTCTGCACGTCCAATAAATACAAAGTCAAGTTTGTGTTCTATGAAGGTTAGCCAGTTAGCATATGTCCGGAATAAGCTGATAGCTCACAATCTAACAGGCAAACTACACCTTATATTACTCATGGTGTTCCTGAGAACACGTGCGTACGAGTTAAGACTCGTTGCTGTCATTGAAAATATGCGATAAAAAGTTGCTGAAGCCATTTCTCACACTATGTTAGCTCCTTAGAGTTCACCAAGAAGAACAAACACTGAACCAAGAATGGATCTGTCTTCGGAAAATTAAGGCCGTTGTCGAGCAGCAAATAATTCAAATTTTACATTTAAGGCGGTTAAATTTAGATATAAATATCAACCTTACCTTTGTTTGGAGGCGGGTTTCAGTTCATCTGTAAAATAACCACAGAGCTAATACTAGCGGATTATTTCCTCTCAGCCCTAACTGTTACAGTTTAGCTTTTACCTTTCAGAGTAAAAGCTTCCATCATCAACTTCCGGTTTTGAAAATAAAAGTATAAAATTCAGAAAAAAGGGAGTCTTTATTCAAGGCAAGCAAAAAAAACGAAGACTGCATCTCAGTACATGATATATGATATAAAAGTCAGTAAGTATTTAAAGTGAAATAGTTCACACACGGAGCAAAACACTTCAACCGTTTCATTTTTTGTGGCTCACAGAAAATGTAAATTCGATATTCAGTTTCCTGGGAAATGTAACAATTATGGAAAACCAAAGATGAACTGACTACTGACTTCTCAGTTGTCAAGTAGTTACTGATCCTTAATATGGATAGTTCCTCACAGAAATTTGCAAACAGTTATTAGATTAGATGGATTTTTTTATTGACATTGCAAAAAACACACACACACACACAATTGAGCACACTCAAGAACAATCAATGAATGATAAAATAGATTACAAATAACACAACCATAAACAAATCCTCTCAAAATAAGTTTTACATTATTGAGATGTTGTGTTTCATGGGTGTTATGTTAAAGTTCAGTGTGGTAATGATGACTTCAGGAAAGAAACACTAAAGTCTGACCCTCGGTTCCAACCCTACTTTGTTCCTTCCTCCCAACCCGAATTCATTTTTTTTTTCCCCATTATTTCTTGCTTTCTTGCTGTGCTTCCCATTATTGAGATTGGCAGACTGTAGAATGGCCACACATAATAGCTTTTCAAGTTCACATATGGCTTGCTAGTGTTAGGCACTGGTCAGTGAGGTGCTATGTATTGTGCCGGGCACTCAGTGACTTTGACATAGGCAAAACATCTGATACTGAAGGTGGGTTTACGCAAGGTCCTTCCATTCCTTGTGCAATCTTCCTCTAGTGGCAGAATTGAGAATTACAACACATAATGTGTGAGTGGAAAAGTTTCATCCTGCAGCTGGTCAGTGACGAAACAGAGGAGCTTCGAGCAGTTCTGTGTAAGAACTCCCTCTTGTGGCGGAATACAGAATGACCACACATAAAAGCTCTGTAATGTTTTAGTTCGGGAGCTAATTTTAACACTCACGTTTTTTCCCCCCCATACTGCATTGAGTATGTTACGTTAAGTCAACATGCTAACGATGGGCTACATGCTATTTTAGCTGCCTGTAGCTCTCCAGCTAATTTTAGCATTTGCATGAGTTATTTCACACTGTTACAGTAGATCAACATGCTAGTGCTAGCAAACCTTCTTCTCCTGCCAAGACTGGTTTGCTTGACAGATAAAAACACTTCACCAAAAAAAGTCGTGAACATCTCTAAAAACAGTCAAATTCATATTGAGTGCTCGAATATAAGTTGTTGGACTGGATAATCACGAAGCTCTATGACACTGTAAAACATGAGGGTAGCCTGTTTGGTGCTTTTTCCTCTCGCCAGACCAGTTTCCATGGACACGTAAACAAAACGAACGGTGATTTGTTTCCCCCGCTTTTCGCCTGAAGCTAACCGAGCTAAATCTCTATACCGTCAGCATGGACTCCTCAAAACCCCGCTCAGAGTATGACGAGAGTCGCAAAAACCCAGTAAGTGTGGCCGAGCAGTGGAAGGACCTGTGTGTGAAAGAGAGGAGGATAGCGCTGGAATGGTGAGTCGAAGACGTGTGAGAGAGAAGGTTTGGTTTTAAAATCACGTTCGCCGACAAGCTGCTGTTCACAGGGATGAGACCTGGGGCACTGTCCTGGGATGTGGCACACAGGTAAGGAGGGAAAACACCGCCTGCACAACTTCGCCCACTTCTCACCCACGGCGACAACCTGTGGATGTTTGCAGGACGCCCCGATGGAGGAGAAGTCTTTACCGAAAAACCTTTCGGTCTATTCCGAGTTCGTCCCCAACACCGCCAACCAGGTCTACGGCAGCAGGCAGATCATGCCTCACGGGAAGGAGATGATCAGACAGGACCGGTTGCCACTCTTCCACGGGAGCTACAGAAGCAAGAAATAGACTGTGGAGAAGGAACCGTGACGCATCCTCCATCCAAAGCGTGGATTATGTATCATAAAAGCGTAAATAAGACGCCAGTGATTACTCTGTGTCCTATGTCAAACAGAGGAGGCGAGCCTGTCATTAACTTGTCTTGAAGTAAACTTGCAAATGCACTGAAAGGAAAAAAAAAAGTTGTCAGGGCAGTAACGGTATTTTAAACCACTGACTGAAAATAGGATACAGCTTTAGGTCACCTGAGCTCTGTTGAGTGGTTAGAAAGGTTTGGATGAGTGAAAAGTTGAATTGGCCTCTCCATTTGCTGCCAGATCTATCAGGGACTTACAGACAAACGAGCTAAAAGAAGTGGCTGGTCTGTCCATCCTTAAACCAACGAAGACATGGCTTTACATGACAATCACTGACTTCAATTGTGTTTATTGAACTTATATGATAGATAGATAGATAGATAGATAGATAGATAGATAGATAGATAGATAGATAGATAGATAGATAGATAGATAGATAGATAGATAGATAGATAGATAGATAGATAGATACATAGATAGATAGATAGATAGATAGATAGATAGATAGATAGATAGATAGATAGATAGATAGATAGATAGATAGAGAAAGAGAGAGAGAGAGAGGAGAGAGAGAGAGAGAGAGAGAGATTGAGAGAGAGAGAGACAGACAGACAGACAGAAACCTGCATTTGCTAGGTTTTAAATCCTGTGGTTGTTTCTGAGCCAATCACCTTTCAGACGATGAATGCGGAAATGAACACGACGCCACCGGCTGACAGGAAACTGTCGTATTTATACATCATCAACGGATGTCAACCGGATTTTTTCAGATTAAAAGCATTTTTTCACTTATTTAATCACGTCATATGTATGCATTCTTTTTTTTCCCATTGAAATACATTTACATAATTTATATTTTATTAATCTGCTTTGATCCTTCCTGGTGACAGTAGTTTAGCGAGCGCACACATTTAATTTCTACTATTATGTCGAAAACACACACCGGATTTCCGACCAGAGTCAAAAGTACCTTAACAGTGTTTGCGTCACAGCAGCATCTATCTGAAAGCTGCTACTGTTGTTGATAAAAACAATAATAAACAGTTTAAAATCAAAGCTAAAGATCCAGCATGCAGCCCGACACTCTGCTGCACATGGCCAACTTCAGCACGCTGTTCGTGTGCATGGTGCTGAAGTTCCCGCAGATCTTCGTGCTAATGAGAGCCAAACGTTCAACGGGGATCAGCCTCAACAGTCTGCTGCTGGAGCTCATTGGGTAGGTGACTGCAGCGCCTTCTGATGCGCTTTTCACCAGAAACCGAACGGTGAACGGCGGCGGAGGTGAGGAAGGGCGCCGTTGATGTATTGTCTTCCTCTTCCTATATGTGCATGTGCAGAAAAACAATCGGAAGTCTATTCTGACGGCCTGGTTTTGTTTAAACACGCGTGGAAGTTGATTCTGAGTCCCATAAAACACAGTTTTTTGCGCTCTGTGAGATTCCAGCGCAATGATCATGTTCGCGAAGCGGCCAGAACTGGACCTGTTGGTCTGAATCAGTGCCGACTGTTTATCCCGCTAACATCAGACTGAATAGTGCGTCTGTGTTCTGACTGCAGCCGCTCAGAGTGTTTCTGAAACCATATCAGCTTCAAACACACGGCATCCATCTGGCAAACGAGCCGAGGATAAGACGACGAAGACCCAGAAAGACTGAAATATAACTGCAGAGGTGCGGGGCTGTTTTTAAGCCAGCCTGCACGCACAGAAATCTGCGGGAGCGCCTCCACTCTCCATAGATGCACTGATTGCAATGATCACATTCAAAATGAATCTACGTAGCAATAATCATTTCACTCGAGTAAAAGAAAAAAGTGCAGTGCAGTAAAACTACTCTTACAAGTAACTTTTTTTTCTTTTCTTTTTTTTTAACAAAAGAGTTGCTCAAGTGAATGTAACAAATACAAAGAGTTGGCCACTCTGAGGTAAAAACAACAAACTAATGGGATTCATGCTTACACAGTTAGAAAAAAATGCATTAAATAAATAAAAGCTGATTACATGAAATAATCTGACATCTTACTCTTTTTAGGTTCATAGTTTTTGTAACGTACCAGATGTACTACAACTACCCACCCCCAACATACCTGGAATATCCCATCCTCATTGCTCAAGGTTTGTAACAAATAATGCAACATCAATATTTTATTGGCTGAAAGGGGCACTTAATTCAACTTTTTATGATCTGTAGGTCTATTTATGGATTGAATATAATCAAGAATATCAGTGTTAGCATTGATGTTAAGTTTCACACAATGTGAATAGTTATAAGGTATGAATATTACTTTGAACATTTTTTTTGAAACTTTGACACAACTGGTTGTAGACGCATTAGAACAGTTTTTTGAGGTTAACATTACCCTGAAATATTATAGAATATGCTTTAAATTCATATTATTAACCCAATGATTAAATACCTTCTACCATTTCTGTTAAAAAGAGTCGTCAAAAATCCAGCCAGAAATGACCTGGATCTCGTTGAGAGCCACAAAAGAGGTTGAGTTTACTCTTCAACTGACTAAGAAACATTTCTCTAACTATTTTTGTGTGGGTGTCAAAAGTTCAACCTGTTTAAATGAGAGAAAACTTGCAGGAAATTCAAACCAGGAAACTTTTAAATACATCAAACTTAGAAGAATCTGAATATCTTGTGAATCAGCAGTACGCCACTGGCCCTTGAAATGAAGCTGGAACCTCGCCGGCAGTGGTGTACGTTTATAACCTGCCCTGTGTCCCATCAGATGTCATCCTGCTGCTCCTGATTCTTTACTACAACGGCAGCCTGCGGCAGAGCCCGGTGTACGCCTTGCTGTATCCTTACCCTCTCTGGCAGTGACAGCTGTGAAACTGCTTGGTGTTGAAGGAAATCAATGAACGCTCCCGCCCCGGCAGCATCTTGTGCCTTAACAGATTGTGCTCAGGTTGGTCGGAGGCTGGAGGCTCCTCACGGTGGAGAGGTGGATCATAGATCTGGCCATGGTAATGCATCATTTTCAAATGAGTCACACATTGTCCCACAGTAAAGAGTTGGCACGTCATCAGTCAGGAGTAATGATGTGGAGGGCTGAGAGGAGACTCATTTCTCTCTCACTGAAACACATCAAGGCCTGCTTGGCAAATGGGATGAACATGTCTGTAGGCATTTTACATTTAAATAGATGAAGCAGCAATTCTTCCACTTCAAGTTTAAAATGTTAGCACAGAAAGTAACTCTTTTTTTTTTTCCTGTGTGGAGTCCAGCTCACCTGCAGTGTTCAATCTGTCATGTCCTAAACGTGTAATCTGGGTCTTGCACTGTCCTCTCAGAGCCTGTGCACGTTCATCAGTGCAGCCAGTAAGTTGGCCCAGCTCCAGTGCATGTGGAGTTCCCAGGATGCCGGACAGGTTAGCGCCCTCTCCTGGGGCCTGGCTACCTACACGTGTATGGGTGAGTGTGTGAGGGAACCTCTTTTCCAGTGGCTGTCCGGGTAAAGAGGGCTGCCAAACTAATTAACTTGTAACTAGTTTACTAACTCGGACTGCACAATATATTGCAAAAATAATAATTTCTAAAAAGCATAAAACATTTTGTCTGAATGGCGGTTAGTACATGTCAAAGTCCTTCTTACATGATTGTTTTGCGTATTTAGAAAGTCGAAATTCTTTTAAATAATTCCTATTGGACATATGCATTATTGATATAGTTGAACATTGAATCTCCATTGAGTGACGTTACCACTAATCATGAGGTTTTTCTTTTAAATAAAAAAAAAGTCAGACATCTAAAAGGATTTTAACAAACATCATAACCCAGTATTTATTGACATTATCATTAATCACCTCTGATTGGTTCATCAAAATAAGTTAGGAGAATCCACCCTTTTTTTCCCCCAATCGTCTCCTGATATTATTGGGATACAATCAATGAGGTAAAATACCCCACATAGAAAAAGTAAACCCAAACGGGTAAATTATAAGATTAAATAAACTAACCAAAGTTGGTTTTCCAAATTTTTAATTGTAGTTTCTCATTTCCGACTTAACAAATGTAATTAGCTTCAACAGGCTCATCGGTTTCAACTAATTCTTCCACTTAAATCACTTTCAGGTCATGAATATGGATAATCCCCCTTCAGTTTGCTACGCCTTCAGTAAATCAGCAATTCAACACGTCATTAATTAAACATGAGAGTGCAGTTGGATAATGTGCATGTCATCAACTCCGCTTCCTCTTTGTTCCAGCGCGGATTTACACCACCTCGGTGACGACCGGAGACATGCAGGGTAAGCCAGCGTTAAATGACACAAGGCAGAAACATTTCATTTTGTTCTCTAAACGCCGTCTACCGTAGCAATAATGTGGAAGCGTGGTGCACTCTGGGAGTGAAATCTCATAAAAAGGCAAGTCTGGAAGTCTTCATGTTTAATGAAGGCAAGAGAGATTTAGAAGAGACAAAAAAATGGAGTTCATTAGTACCTCGACTCTTGGATCTTTGACTCCAATGTTTAGTCTCAAATGTTATTCTCATCTTCAAATTAAAGTGCTGTTTTGTATTGACTTTTATTTGACAAATATTAACACAAAAAAAGTCTTTAAAATTGTTACCCAAGAATAAATCTCGGTGGACAGCATGCATAAAAAGTATTTAAATTGCATTATTAAAAGATGAAAATAATCACGTTATTTTGAGCTTCAAGTCGGTTAGATTTTCTCTGGGATTTTGTTGAGATGAACCATTAATAGATTACCTGCAGCAGACAACTTTTACCATCTTTTGCCAATTATTCAGACTGCAAGAGAGAACAATACTTTCAGCAGATAAAAGGAACGTTGAACAAAATGGCATAAGAAGCTCAGTTCCATCCCTCCGTGCTTTTAACGTCTAATCATGCCGAAATGTGCGCAGCCTTCAGAAAATTAGGAGGGAAGGAGCTGCATTGTGTCAAATATACATTTACAGAGTGTTGATTTTGTAATGCTAATAGATACATAAAGCTGACCTACAATGCATTGCCTTGTTTTATGATAAAAGACCAGAAAATTGACCAAGATATCTGGAAATTTCAGGCTGTAAATGTGTAGAATTAAGTTAAAAACGCATAAAATATCCTGTCTTGTTTAGCGTTTCCCATTTTAGAAAAAAAATTAACAGAATAAAATTGGACTTTGATCAGTGGCCAGAAAAAGATTTAGATTGAACTAAGGAATTGAATAGAAAAACAGACAAGAGTCAAAGAAAGTGAGAAGGTGCTCAACAATGCCGTCTTAGATTATATTTTCTGAGAAGAAATCATTATCTATTGTTCAAAAACATATAACCAGAAAGGGTATTTTTTTTAAAAACATGAAGCTAAAAATAATTAAAAACCAAATTTCAATGCAGGTTTGGAATGGTTTTCCTGCAAAACATCTTAAAATGCAAGCTTATAGCTTCTTATCAGACAGCCAGCATTCACGTTTTGATTTCTAAAGCCAGTTCATAGCTACAAATCAGTTTAAATTAAAAGTAATCCTGGTTAGTAATCACCTTCTTGTTCCTCACAGTTCTGGTGCGGTTTGTGGCAATGACTCTGCTCAACTTCTGGGTGCTGCTCACTGTGATCCATTACCAACGAAGAAGAAGCAGCAGCTCAAAGAAAGATGACTGATCTAGTGGTTTCTTCTTCAGCGCTTACTGGGTCTAAGGGTAACGGTTACTACTGTTAAAAAGAAAGTACACTCTATTTCACTTCTAGTTTTTACCGATGAGAACTTAAATGTTCCGAAACTTTTTCTAAACTACTAAAGTAGTTTAAACATAACCTTGAATGTAAAACAGATGCAACTGTTGGTCTTTAATCTTAACAGCTTACTGTAAAATAAACAAAACTTATTTGACTAAAGTTTACTTGCAGGAGATTGCTGAGTTACTTTGATTTGATCGGAGAATCAACAAACAGTATCAAACACATTGTGTTTTAACAGGCAAGCTTTAAGAAAACAACTTAAATATAAAATGCTAATTCATTTTATGTTTGATTTTTCAGTAACTCATGAAAGTATTTGACTCCAAGTGGAAAGTTATTTATATAAATAAGTAGAAAATGGGTCTGTGATGAGATGATTCAACCTGCAGCCATTTCTACATCTGAGCTCATTTTTGAATAAATTTACGACCTAATCAATTACAGATCTTTTTTTATTATTTGTATAAAGAATTGAAAGAGGGTGTATTTTTTTTATTATGTTTTACCAAACATTCCAATAACAATGCTTTTCCCAGTAGTTTTAATACATTTCTCCTAAATCTTTTATTTTTTTTTATTCCATTTTTAAACAGTGAGGATTTTCTGTCAAAGAATATGACAGTTTGCAAATATCCAAAATCTTCCAACTCAGGATAATATATGCTGTTTTTAATAAATTTTGTATGCAAATTTTTTTCTGTAATGCCTAAATAAACCAAAACATTTGACCTTTTCCCATTGTGATTTCACTGGAATTCTTTAAAGCATTTATTTGTTTGACTTTTTTTAAAAAAACATTTGAAACCAAAAGGCACATCCATGTCTTTATTTCTATAAGTAGTTAATATAATCATCATCATTATAGCTGTTTGGTAGCAAACATGCAATCTGGATGTAAAGGCCCTTAAATACAAAGTGGACAAGGCTGTATAAATAATATAATGTGCACAGTATGGCATGTAAAATATATACTGTAGATATTTATATGTATAAAACATGCTTCTTGGTTAAAGGAGAGCAGTTGGTACACAAAACACACATGATTTGCTCTCCAGCCGCCTGTATGAGCCACATTCACACAACGACATGTAAAAAAAACTTGGGAGTTCAGTTATTCTTGACACCAAAACATTGGAACAAACCTTCAGTGGACGAGTGCTGCTCAGGACAAGTATGCAAACCTTGTCCTTGTCACCGCTGCTTTCAAAAAACAACCTGGCAGGGGTGACGGCGTGTGAAAAACATGCAAGTTCAATCCAAAGCAGCTGGCAGTAAAATAAAAGCTTCAGTCAAGTATATTTGGTAATATGATGCCTGGGTGCCACCTCTGGTGGAGCACCACATCTACCTTCAAACACAGCGAGGAGAAAAACATGATCGGTGCGTTTAGGTAAACATTATCCCTCGGGTTGGACAGTGCAGGTTTGTTCCTTTAAATGCCATCAGGGCAGGATGCTGCTCATGTTGAAACATCTGCTGCAGTGTTTCAGTGACAGAAATCATAATGAGAGGCAACCAGAGAATCATTTACTGAAAATAAGGACTCACTGCGTTCCCCTGTTCTGTGACTTTACGTGAAGTAACAGCTTGTTGTACCTTAGTCAGATCCTGCGACTCACCTGAAACCAGAACTGTGGAAAGTTAAAAGCTACAATCATTGTGTTGAGAGAACAAGTCATTTGGGGAAAAAAAACCAACAGAATCAACTAAGTGTCGTGTTCTTTGAACTGTTCACAGTTTCTTTTAGCAGAATGTCTTATTTTTTGGCCACTAGAACCTCCAAAGGTGATGTGCAGGAGTTTCCTGCATGTCCCCTCCATCACACTGTTTCCTGGTGAGAATCATTGAGGTAATTGAATCCCCATCCATCCATGCAGCCTCTTCGAAGAGCTCTTGTGCTTCCTGTGGAAACAGAAGGAGCTACTCCAGAAGCACGACAGACAAGCCAACCAGCTTGCAGAAAAGAGCACAGTCAAGCTCAGTAGCTGTGAAGTGGCTGAAAGGAGCTGAGCGACAAGGAGAGTGGAGAGGTTTTCCTCCCAGGATGAAGCAGGAGACGGACGGAGGCGAATTGACGTGGAGTTCCAGATCTGCAGATGGAGCTTCGAAGGAAACACTGCCCCGGAGATGCATCTAGCAGGGTTAACTGGAGGCAAAGAGACAGACGGACAAAAAGTTAAGCACTTCAAAAATACATGCTTATTTCAACAATAAGCGTGTGTTTTAAAAGTTCTTACAAAGTTTGAATTTATTGCTTTTTATGCACAACTCTGAACATTTTATACCTCTTTTAGCAGAATTGATGTAAGATGGTTTTGTTTTCTTTCATAGAGTTTGAGGATTACAAAAATGTATCAATCTGATGTTTATTTGAGAAAGTTTTTGTTTCAACCATCTATTTGCTCATATTAAGTGAAGTTGAAATAATTTAGAAGTTCATCTTTGTATCCACTTTGAAACGTACCAAATCTACAATGTTTTGAAATTGTGCACCCAATTCTTGCTTTAAAAATCCTTACAGCTGTATGAAGGTAAATAATTTCCTACAGGAACAAAATGGTTCAAATAAATCATTTAAAGTCCAAAGTGAATACAATATCCAGACCTTCAAGGCATAGGTAAACATCTGTTGTGTTGCGTTAATGATGCAAGAATTTATTTTAAGGAGCAAACTCTCCCAGACATTATATGATTCTTCATATAGCTCTGGAAAAATTAAGAGACCACTTAAAATGATCAGTTTCTCTGATTTGACTTTTTATAGGCATATGTTTGAGTAACATGAACATTGTTCTTTATTCTATGAAATACTGACAACATGTCCAAAATTCCAAGCAACAACTTTTTATTTATTTGTAGAAAATGAGAGTGCTTTCAGCCCTCAAATACTACTAAGAAAACAAATTCATATTCATTTAGAAACAACAATACTAATGTTCTAACTCGGGAAGAGTTCAAAAATAAACATCCATGAGGTTTTCAATAGGGTTCAGTGCAGTCGTCTCTTAATTTTTTCCAGAGCTGAATATAAGAAGATGGAAAATCGTAAACGATCCTATCAAGTTATAAAAGATTATTTTCCCTGTTCTAGACACCCAGTGATATTGCTCCTGTCAGGTAAATAGTTTCCCAAACAGCACAGAGAAAATTGAACCATGTGTATTCACCCCCTGCATACGACCCGACAGCACCGCTGGGTGACAACAAGACAGACACGTACACAAGCGCATCCAGGAACTTGGTCGTTTAGACCGAGAACAAGATCAGAGGAGGAGTCAGTTGTACCAAATGCTGCAGGAGTCGACTTGCTTTGTTTTTAACCCATTTGATCTGCGGCTCAAGTCATAGGACCTGAAACATGTTTTTGATCAACAACAACAAATGTTAGCCCGTCACATTTGGCAAGAAATAACAAATCAGACAAAGAGACTCCTAAGAAAATAAAGTAGGGAGACAGAAATTTAACAAAATGCAAGAAACAGAGCTATTTCACAAAAACACCTGCAAGAAAACTCACAACTAGGTGTATAAAACCTGAAATAGAAAACACAGCAGTTACATTAAATACATGGTCCTTCAGATTGAGGACTGACAAGTGTTCTATAAAAATTACTTGCCAGTAAAAATTTTTTAAAAAGCACAGTTTCTGCAAGAAAATTCTCCAGACACATTAACAACCATGGAAGTGTCCAGATTGAAAGAAAAACTTTTAATCTGGACACTTTTGTTTGTGACCAAATTGAAGTAAAATTAATATAAGTTGCTGACTAAATAATCTGGGCTAATTAAATACCCTAATCAGTGTTCAGTGGGCAGAGTACATAACATCACAAACTCTTAGAAATATCTGGAGAATATGGATAAAAATGTGATGACCTCTGAAAGTAAACTGAAAGGAGGGATGTGTCCAAATTTATGGGCTGCACCCTTTGACGGTCATCTACAACAATGCAACTATGGCTGACAAAGGCAGCTATTAGTTGCATTAAAAGTCCAAAGTGAATACAACACCTGATTTATTCACTTAGAATAAATCAGGTGTGTTTCAACACACCTGATTCAAATGACTAGCTTGTTACCAGGTCGACTAAACTTTCTGGCGCAGAAGAGATGATCCAATCATTTGATTCTGGTGTGTTGGACAAGAATGCATGAAAAAGTAGCTCCAGAAAACTGGAGTTGGATATCTCTGCAATACCTTTAAATGCAGCCACTGCACTGCAAACACAGCGAAACACACACAGAGAAACACAGTGTTACCATCATCAGAAATGTATGGAGGAACAATCCTCATCAATATCATCCAACGCCCAGAGCCAGTCCTGAAGACTAAACTCCTCCAGTCTGAAAGGGGGACATTAGTTTCTGTGATTACCTTTATGATGACGTGTCAGAATGCTGTCATATGGTGGGCGATCCCAGCCGTGCATTGAAAAAACATGAACACAGAATCTTTAAGATTCTGTTTTTCACTAAGTTAACCATGGAAGCAATAATAAAGCTACTATATTTCATCCGTGGACACTTTCTTGAACTAAAAGAAGAAACCTTTGATTTCATACCTGCTTTTGCTGGTGGGGAGCGGTCGGCTCGGCCTCCTCATGGACTGGCTGGACTGAACCCTCATGGAGGTGCGTGGTGAGGAGCGACCAAAGTGCTCCGGCGGAGGAGGCTTCTTGGGAATCTTCTTGACCAACCTGCTCACCCACTTCTGCTGCTCCTCTTGGGACGTGGCCAGCAGCAGCAGGTTCTTGGCTGTAGACACGTCGTAGTTTACTGGCAGTGGAAGAAGAAACTCGTTTTCATTCACCTGAACCCAAACAGGGGCCACATCGAACAAATCGTCGAAAGTTGTATCAACGATTTGATTGATACAACTATGCAGAAAAGCTTAACACCTTTGCAGGGAGCGATGATCTCCTCCTTCTTGTCCATGTGGTCCTTGTGGCATTTAATGTGGCAGCGCCGGCACTCCAAAGCCGGCGGCGGCTTAAACATGTTCCACAGTGGCTTGGTGCACGCCTCACAGTTGGTGGGGAAGTGGTAGAGTGTGGGGATAAATTCGTGGCCTTTGTGGCAGATGTAGCTGGACTTCTCGCCGATAGGAAGTGGCTCCACGGGAAACTCCGGCTCTTTTTTGCTCTCGCCTTCGTTGGCGTAAAGAATCTAGCGGGACCACATGGATGGAAATGCTGGTTGGCCTTTTCCATCCTTTTAAACCACTTAGAAGTTCAAATGCAGACATAGTAAAGCAGAGGGAGAACACACCTGGAATATCCTGGGAATCTCCTTGGCTTCAGCACGGTACACATCTGTCTGAGTGACTGGCCTCACATGGAAAAGTTTGCTGCAAAGTGGAAATAAACGTTCATTTCCATCTGAACGCAAACATCTCTCCTGGGTTGAAAACCCCGGCGTTGAACTCACTCTATATCGAGAACCATGCAGGGGATGGACTGCTCTCTATCGTGTTCACTGTTGTAGAAGAGAATCTTTTTGCTGCTCACAACAACGTACTGCAAGAACAAAACGAACATAAATAACAGAACTAAAATCAAATAGACGCTCTAAGGTAGAGCAAATGTGGTTCATTCTGACCTTTTTCTCCCATCCAAACTTCTTGGTGTTGTGTCTGACGGGAAGCGAAAGCCAGCCCTCAAGTCTCGACTCTGAGAGAAACAATAACAAATGTTACATATTCAGTTCAAAAACAACACTGGAAAATGATCCCTT